CGATGACTACCGTCCATTGAAGAGGGCCAGAAAGACAGGTTCTGGTCCTTCTACGCCCACCCCAGCGCCTGAAAATGGCACCACAGAAAAGACTGCCAGAGGTTTGAGTCATCTCATCACACATGCTATTTCCTCCATTGATATCGACTTGAGGACCTCGATAGCTCATAACATCATTGTCACTGGTGGTACATCCTTGATTCCAAGGTTGACCGAGAGACTCTACAATGAGTTGTCCAACTCGAATCCAGGCCTCAAGATCCGTCTACACGCTATCGGTAATGCTAACGAAAGAACGAATCAGGCGTGGATCGGTGGAAGTGTTCTTGCATCGCTCGGTACATTCCATCAAATGTGGGTTAGCAAGGCCGAATATGAAGAAGCTGGTGTCGACAGGATCCTCACCCAAAGGTTTAGATAAAAAATGTGTATTATATTTAAGGTAAATGATCTACTCGGTGCAAAGTAGAGACCGCTCCATGGCCGATTGTGCAGGCCAGACTTAGTGAGGCTCCAAGGTCGGACATTCATCAACTAGATCTATACCACCAATGATTACTCAAACCTCGTTGTACCCACCGCAGCCAAACACTGCTCGTGCGTCGAGTACTTTCATTTCTTACGATTCTCAGAACAATAGAATTGCCTATGCTTCTGGCAGGTCTATCGTTGTGCGCTCATTAGATAGCGACAGATTACCTGTTCAGTTCACCAAGCACACTTTTCCAACTACAGTGGCCACATTCAGTCCTTCTGGAAACTACATTGCCTCTGGTGATGAGTCCGGAAATGTCAAGATTTGGGACTCCTCTGTTTATGGCAAGGAAGAAGGTCTGCTTGAACAGCCAGTTGTCAAGGCTGAGTATCAGATTCTCAGTGGTCCCATCAGATCCATTGCCTGGGACGGTGACAACCAAAGAGTGATTGCTGTTGGTGAAGGTAAGGATCAATTTGGTCATTGTTTCACGTGGGATTCGGGTAACTCTGTTGGTGAGATCCAGGGACACTCCACTGTTATCAATGCGGTTGATATCAAGCCCCAGAGACCTTATAGAGCTGCAACTGTGAGTGCCGACAAAGCGTTGGTGTTCTACAACGGTCCGCCATTCAAGTTTGACAAGAGTGTTCGTGGCCGTCACAAGAATGTCATTAGAGATGTCAAATTCAGCCCAGATGGTAAATGGCTCGTGAGTGTTGGCTCCGATAGAACTATAGTCGTGTATGATGGCAAGACAGGCGAGGTTTCTAATACTCTTGAAGATGCCCATAACGGTGGAATCTTTGGTGTGTCATGGTTTGCTGACTCGTCTGCTTTCGTCACTGCTTCCGCTGACAACACGCTTAAAGCATGGAACCCTGAGTCTCTTGAGTCGAAACATACCTACACAGTCGATGCCGATTCCACCGTTTCGAACCAGCAAGTGGGTGTCGTTGTCACCAAAGACTACGTGATTTCCCTCTCTCTCAATGGAAATCTCAATTTCTTCAAGCATTCCGACAATGCTCCAACGAAGAAATGGTACGGCCATCAGAAGTCCATCACATCCGTTTCTTCTGATGACAAGAACGTCTACACCGGTGATGCTGATGGTTTGATCGTTAGATGGAATAGAGATGACCCCAAGTTGGGTTCAACCCCTGAGATTCTCGGCAACAGAGAAGATCAACACACAAACTACGTTGACAGCATTGTGAAGACCGACGGCGGTATTGTCACGGCCGGATGGGATGACAAGCTTAAACTCTGGACACCTGACGGGGCTGTCGTCAAAACTACTCAATTGGAATCCCAGCCCAAACACCTTGCGTTCGCATACGGTAGGTTGTTTGTTGCCCACGAGAGCGCTATTGCTTCATACGATGCCGCTTCCCTTGAGAAGATTTCATCAAACTCCATCAACTTCAAAGCTTCTTACGTGGGTCCAATCTCAGAAACGAAGGTGCTTGTTGCCAATCTGACCGGGTCTAAGGTCGAGGAACTCGAATTGGGTGCAAACTTAAAGACTGTTCGCTCATATCAGCCATTGAGATCTGCGCCATCCTTGATAAAGGTCTCCCCAGACGGCCAATATGCTGCTGTCGCTGACACAGCCGGTAAGTACACCTTGTACAACACCAGTGATGGTTCCGTGGTCACTACTAGATGGGCATTCCACAACAGCCGAGTGGAAGATGCTGAATGGACTGCTGACTCCAAATTCTTGCTCAGTGGAGGCTTGGACAGCAGTCTTTTCGTGTACTCTGTCGCACGCCCAATGAAGGTGTTGAAATTCCCCTTGGCCCACCAAAATGGAGTCACTGGTGTCAAGTGGATAGACTACGACCAATCTAAGGGTGTTTTCGTCTCTACGGGAAGCGATGGTTTCGTAAAAACCTGGACCGCAGACTTTAGCGTATACGCCTGATAGCCCCTGTGGAAATTTCTTTGGGGCACATCTGATGTAATCGGTGCGGATGGGCTCAAAATGTTTCAGTGCAGCGAGCCTCATACGACCGGGCCCGCCCAAAATAGCAAACGGCCAGTCCCTTTTTAAGCCCACATATTATGATGAAATTTAAGGCAATGGGCCTAAACTAGAAACCTACGTCATCCCCTCTCTTGCAAAATATAATATAGTAAGATTGCTCTAGACCTTTTTCAACTAAATTAAATTAACTTGTGCGCAACCAGCCTTATCCTCGAGCTCCAGCACCCAAAAAGGCCATGCAGGTGAGGCCGGACCCCGACCTCCACAGACCTGACCTGATCCGCTTCCATTGACTTTCAACCACTTTTTCTTTCATCCTTTTTCAAAATGTCAAAAGATCTTATCAAGGGTGCATTGGACATTGATCCTTGGTTGGAACCTTACTCGGCCTCCCTTATCAGCCGCCAGTTGCAATATCACCAGTGGCTCGAAACTTTGGAGAAGTCCGAGGGTTCCTTGTTTGACTTTGCTTCTTCCTATAAAAAGTACGGACTTCATGCTGACAAGGCCACCAAGGCCATCACCATCACCGAGTACATCCCTGATGTGCAGCTGGTCTCCCTCGTGGGAGAGTTCAACGGCTGGGACGTGGACTCACACCGCTTGGAGAAAAAGAACGATTTCGGCTTGTGGCAGCTCACAATTGAGCCAGTTAATGGAGACTATGCAATTGCCCATGATTCCAAGTATAAGATCTCAATGTTAACCGCTGCTGGCGAGAGGATCTACAGATTGGACCCATGGGGTACACGGGCGACTTTCGACAAGTACACCACCTTGTACGAGGGCAGGTTCTGGAATCCTGAACTGACATACACCTTCAAGCACCCAAGACCGCATTTGAACGAGGTGGAGGGACTCAAGATCTACGAGGCGCATGTCGGCATTTCGTCTCCTGAGCCCAAGATTGCCAGCTACAAGGAATTTACGCAGAACACGTTGCCTGTGATCCATAAGCTTGGCTATAACACAATCCAATTGATGGCTATCATGGAGCATGCCTACTATGCCAGTTTTGGTTATCAGGTGACGAACTTCTTTTCCATTTCATCGAGGTATGGTACTCCGGAAGAGCTCAAGGAACTCATTGATGAAGCCCACCGGTTGGGTATCAGAGTTCTTCTTGATGTGGTTCACTCCCACAGTTCCAAAAACGTGGAGGATGGCTTGAACAACTTCAATGGCACCGATCACTACTTGTTCCATGGTGGTCCCAAAGGTAACCATGACTTGTGGGACTCAAGGTTGTTCAACTACTCTAACTACGAGACATTGAGATTTTTGTTGTCTAACTTGAAATTCTACGTTGACGTCTACGGCTTTGATGGTTTCAGATTTGATGGAGTCACTTCTATGTTGTATAAGCATCATGGTTTGAGCTACGGCTTCAGTGGTGACTACAATGAGTATTTCAATCAGGATTTGGTCGACAATGACGCAATTACTTACCTCATGCTCGGACATCGCTTGCTTGAGGAAATCAGTGAAGCCGATAAAGGTGCCTTGTTCACCACAGTGGCTGAAGACGTCAGTGGTATGCCCACATTGTGCTTGCCAATTTCTAAAGGTGGTATTGGTTTCGATTACAGGTTGTCGATGGCAATCCCAGACATGTGGATCAAAATTTTGAAGCATTTGCGGGACGAAGAATGGGATCTTGGAAACATTGTTTTCACGTTGACCAACAGACGCCATGGCGAAAAATGCATCGCTTACTCTGAATCTCATGATCAGGCTTTAGTGGGCGATAAGACTCTTGCCTTTTGGCTTATGGATAAGGAGATGTATACTAATATGTCCGAACTCTCTCCCATGACTGAGACCGTTTCTAGGGGTCTTGCTTTGCACAAGATGATTCGTCTTGTGACATTTGCCTTGGGAGGAGAAGGCTATTTGAACTTTGAGGGTAACGAGTTTGGACACCCAGAGTGGTTAGACTTCCCTCGTGAAGGTAACGATGATTCATACCACTACGCCAGACGTCAATTTAACTTGATTCATGATGACTTGTTGAGATATAAGTTTTTGTTCCGTTTTGACAGTGCCATGCTTGAGCTTGACACAAAGTATGGAGTATTGTTGACACCTCAGGCATACATCTCTTTGAAACACGAGATCGACAAGGTTCTTGTCTTTGAGAGAAACGGACTCTTGTTTATCTTCAACTTCCACCCAACTCAATCTTTCCCTGACTACAAGGTCGGTGTTGAGGCTGCTGGAGAGTATCAGATAGTGCTTGATTCTGATTCCAAGGAGCTTGGGGGATTCGGAAGAATCAATGACCTTGACAGTGCTGGAAACAAGATCTCGTTCCCTACTCTGCCAGAGCAGTGGAACAATAGGTCAAATGCTTTGTTCATCTACGTTCCTTCTAGAACCGCTTTGGTTTTACAACTCAAGAGCAAGGTCAAGTAATAATATACATATTAGGGAGCGGATGCAACCAAGTCCAGGTGAGTATGACTGAAGTGAACCATTTGTCTCGTGAAGCGCTGAAGTTCAGTCATTACCTTTTCATCCGTAGTGTCTATATTACGTGATGCTGCTCTCAATGCATGAATCGTCACTGGCCAAATATTCGAATTGCGGTAGCTCTGTAGGATACCAACGAGATCTTTGGCCAATTTAACACAATATTGGGGAGGATACTTCGCCAATTGATCATCAACCAAAAAGGTGTCAGCGAGTCTTAACTTGTGAGCAAGTTTGACGTAGTGGCTTATCTTCGCCATTTTATAGTTTAAGCCAACGATCGCCGTAGCCTCGTCCTTGAACAAGATGTGCGGGAATACTCTCGACTTCGACGCTGGGCGGCAGACACTTGGCTTCAAGGAAACGGGGAGATTACGATCGATCTCCTCCAACTTTTGATTGAGTTCCATCCACTGATGAAACTCCCTATTACTGGCAAAGTCCTCCTGTGTTATAACATCGTAGGAATTGGAAAACTCATTAATGCTACTGAGTGTTATAATCACTTTGTACTGCCACCACCAAGTGCTCTGGCCTGTCAACAAGGAGCTTGAGAGGAAAGCCTCGACATCCTTCACGGACCGAGCCGGCTCATCCAGATGAGCAGTGGGGTCATTGAATGAATCGAAGTAAGCAGGATCCATGGCTCTCCAGGTTTTTTCTAGCGAGTACATGTTTGGAAGCTCGAGCTTTAAAGACAAGATCAAGTCGCAGACGAACATTCCCCAAAAGCATGTGTGGTAGTATGGGGAGTTTCCGATCAAACTTTCAGACCTGTTTCGGCGAGACATGATGGAGATGAAAATGCTAGCAGCACCCTTCACGTAGGTGCTATCAATGGCCACGAAAAAGAGCTCGTAGATGCACAATAGTATTGTGGCCAACAAACAACGAGCAAGGATACCATTGCTCTCATCCTCTGCATCTGGACGACTGAGATGGTGTCTTATAGTCCCCACAGTTTTCTGATAGTATTTGAGTGGGTACGAGGAGTCGATCGCATCTGGATTGATTCTCAGAAGGATTAACGAGCTTAGGCAAAAGATGGAATTGAGAATCATCCTTGTGTCCTCATACAAGGCCAACTCCGAGGCAATTTTTTGAAAACACTCTTGTGGCATAAATGAGTCAATACTTTTCGAGATAACATGCACAAACAAGTCGAACAACTTTACCTCAAGCTCATCCTCAAGCGCATTTTCATAAGCCGTGGAAAGTGACGTCCTGGGCCTTTCAATTTTCAAAGCATCCTGGAAATCAGCAAACACCGAGTCCAATGTATCCTCGCTTAAGGTTCTTTCTTGTTTCTTTCTGGCAAACTGCATCTCTAGGGCATCATGACTAAGTTTGTTGATTTTCGGCTTTTTGTTCTTTTTGACTCTGCTAGGCTTGAATGTTGTTCTCAATTCATTTACAGGAAATGGAGACAGAACTTCAGCTGGTGACGCCGGCGCTCTGAGCCCTGCTGGCTGCTGCAGCATCAAGGGCTGTAATGCGGTGCCGCCGGGGAGACGAGCCATGAACGGTCCACGTGCAAATCTATCATCCTGGCCAGGAACCCCTTGCAGAGGTTGACCAGAGTAATAAAACGGCTGGGATTGCATCGGGGCAAAGAAATTGCCAGGATACGGCTGTGGAGGTCTTTGACCGGGAACTGCGTACATCATTTGACCCGGAAGCCTAGGGTCCGGAGTAGACGGCAGGGCTTGGGGCCGGATATGAGGAGGACTTTGGAATTCGGCTAGCCTCTTATCCGATGGTATTGGGTTGACCACGATCGACGGGATCTGTTGCGGCCCATTTTGATGGTATGGATAAGGCTGATCCAGAGACGGCTGATGAGGCGTCTGGGCGCTTGAATTAAAATGTGACATTTGAAATGGGGCTCCGTGAACAACTCCCCAGTAAAGCTCGAAGAAACGGGTGCTTGTCGAAAGAAATGACAAAAAAAAAAACAACAACAGTGAGTAAACAAAGCGTACTATAGACGAAAAATCTAAAGCGATAAGTTTAACCGCGCAGGTGCGAGCTGCAGCTCGCCTAACGATACCCCCCTGATCAAATATACTTTTAAACATTGCAAACTGATATAGAGATAGTGGTCTGTTGGTCTGGGTAATAAAAATCTCGAATGTCTCGATTGTGTTTTATCGATTTCGAAATTACTTTCGATTTGAGGGGAGACTTATATCTCCGGAGAGCCGCATGCTGCTTTCACAAAACCCACCCAATCAAAGGTGACTTAAAAGCTATTTAAATTTTGGAAAAAAAAAAAAGAATGAATGAGAATTTTTCGTTGTTGACAGCTACTACTTTTTTAAGCCTTTTCGTTGTTTTTTTTTATTCTTTGCCTTCTCTGACTGTAGCTCAAGCACTGGTGATGCAAGACTAACTACAGGTATAGGCGAGCTCACTGGTAGTACACACTATCTGTTTAAGTCATGGCAGAGAAGGAATTGACGGTGTTTGTTGTCGACTTGCACCCTTCCGCAAAACAATCGCATGAATATCTATTTGATGTTCTTGCTGGAAAGCTTCTAAAGGGCTTGAAAACGGATTACATTTCGGTATTGGCATATCATTCACCGAGAACTGAGCATAAGCTTGCGGAGAAAGGTGTATTTCCAGGCATTGAGGTTCTAGTGGACTTCGAAGTGCCAACCTATGACTTACTTGCTAAACTCAAGAAAACCTTGACGCCCAATGAGAGTTGGGAGAGCTCTCAGAGTGATTCTTTTCAGAGTCTCATCTTCTCATTGAGTCTCCTCGAGGAGACTAAGAAGAAAGCATTCACAAGGAACGTTGTCGTCCTTACAGCTGAGAATTCTCCACTTGAGTCTCTCAATGAAGAAAAAGCGGGGGGTGTTCCTCGACTTATTCAGGGCCTCAATGTCAACTTGATAACAGCAATAGCCGGTGCAAAGACAGAGTCTGGTTTGAGCGAGAAGTGGTCTCTATTGAATTCTGCTTTCAGCAAATTTGTGCTTTTCACATCTGATGAGGCTCAGCGTATCGCCAAAAGTGAATCAAGCAATAAAAAAGTTCGGCCAATGTCGGTCTACAGAGGAGAGCTACGGTTTGGCGCAAACTTCCAAGATATCATCGACCAAAAAGCATACAATGCAGAAGCCGATGATTGTGCCCTTGCATGGCCCATAGAAGTCTTCCCTGCAGCAAAGAAAGACGTTACTTCCACATCAATGCACGACTACTTGTTGGAGAATGGTGAGCTTATAAGGCTAGAAAGAAAGTCGACCCACTACGTCTGGTCCAAGAACGATGAATACCAACGACCGGAATATCCTGAAGATGAGGATGTTGACACGAAAAAGTTCGACAAGGTTGCGGTCGAATCCAAAGATTTCACGTCAGGCTTTAAATTCTCAAATTTTGACTTGATTGCTCTAGATGAAGATTTGATGGACTCAGCCCGGCTCAAAATTTTTTCAGCATTTGACATTTTAGGATTTGTGAAACAAGCGAACATACCACAAGCATATCTAACTGGAGAGTCATTCTTTGTTGTACCAGAAAAGTCTGCATCTCTTCGAACATCCCTCAATCACTCGGCATTTGTTAAGGCTATTTTTGAACTCAAAGCAGCAGCGCTTGTCCGTTTTGTGAGGAAACAAGCAAAGGAAATCGAGTTGGGTGTCCTATTTCCAATAAAAGTCGATGATGGTGGGACTTTCTCGCACAACTTCCTCTTGATAAGGTTACCTTTCAAGGAAGACGAGAAGATTGGAAACTTCCCTCCTTTACAGGCATCAAATGATCTGGAATCTGATGCCTCCTCCTTGATGGAACAGTTTATCAAATCGCAGACATATCTGGGTCGTGAAACAAAGGATGGCTTTTTGCTTAAATCAAGGAGAGTCACTATGCGAACTTCAGAGAACTCAAAATTGCCATTGCCTGGTTCTGAAGAAACGGACCCTTTCCTTGTTTCTTCGCCGGCTCAAGCCAGATTCGCTCGCTATATGAAAACCATACTTGTGAAGTCCTTGACAGCTGATAACCTCGATGATTTTTTTCAGCAAAAGGAATTCGTCAACAACGTTCTACGTGACTCTCCGCATTTTACTAATTTCCTCAACATGGCAAATTGCTTGGGTCTGTCTCTGGAGACAGACTGGCTTAAGGAACTACAAATACCGTCCAAAAACTTTGCTAAGAGACTTGTTGATGAGTTGGATGTTTCCTACGTACGCAAAGCTGATATCAAAAAGAAAAAGCCAGGAAAATCTGAAGATGGCTATACTAAGGGTAATTATGGTGCTGACGAGGGTCAATACGATGAAGTTCCTGACTTTGGCTTCTGATCCTATTTACAAGTCCAATCTATTTACAATTTGAAAAGCTGGTTGCGCAAGTCAAATTCCCTATCCTTGGCCGTTCTCTTCCTGTTGCTGGAGTTACCGGTACCATCCTCACCGAGTCTATCATTGAGCCTGTTGTAAACACCTGTTTCCAGAACACGGCTTTTTTCCTCGTTTATCAACTTTCTCAAATCGGATGTCTCGATTTCGAGAATCGCCTCCTTGTCAAAAAGACCCTTATATCTTCCATCCTTGGCTTGTCTCCATGTATCAACCCAAAAGTTCGCCATACCCAACTCATCATACCCTCCGTCGGGTCTGAGCTTGCCCCTCTTTTTGGCGATGTTGTATAGCAACTCATGAATGTCATTTGTGGGATGATTCAAGTAATATTGGTAGCACTTCCCATTGGGTTTTTGTAAATTGAGAACGTAGAGAAGATAATCAGCCAAGATGATCGGATCGATGAATGAATTGTGTACGCATCCCACAAGTGCAAGGGAGAGCATAGTTTCGCTATCCTTCACCGTGGGAAGAAACACACCAGGAGTATCATACACTAGAATATCAGGATCCTTACTCAATCGAATGACTTCGCTGGTGCTCCTAGTCACACCAGGCTGACCACCTGTTCTAGCCACTTTCCGTTTTTTGGATGAAACACCTTTCGGTAGCTGGTTAACATATCCAACAGACCGTAGCGTATTGACCAAAGTTGACTTACCGACATTGGGCATACCGATAATCATAGTTCGAAGACCAAGTGGGGGTGGCGGGTACATAGTATCGTATTTCTCTTCCAATAGCTTGAGGATGGACTTAGCATCCCTGTTGCTTCTGGCATCGATGAATAGAAATTTCTCGTTCCCATGCCATTTTTTCTGCAAGTCGGGCTTGAGCACTGAAAGATCTTTCTTGGAGTAAAGGACAATCTTTTCCTTCTTGGCTAATACTTTATCGAAAAGCACATTTGTAGTTGATATTGGAGCTCTGGAGTCTCTCACCTCAAGCACTAGATCCACTTGCGGAGCAAGATAGCTGAAACGAGTAAGAGCCTTCTGATGATGGCCCTTGAAATTCGATAGGGGTAATCTGTAATCGGGAAACACCCTTCTCGGCACAAAAGACATAAGTGATCCTCAGTCTTGGTGTGACTTCTATGCTTCGCGATGATGTACAGCTGAAAATCTCAAGACACCAATATGCCATTGATCACGTTTACAGGATTGCCATGTTCGGGTAAGACGAAATGGGCCAAGGAACTTATAAGTCAACTTGAAAAGAGAATCCAAACAGCCCAGGAATCCAGTGCTCCCGGACACAACTATAAGATTGTCTATCACTCTGATGAAACGCTTGGTGTAAGCCATGATTCCTACAAGGAGTCAATTACGGAGAAAAGTGCTCGTGGTGCTCAGATGTCTGCTGTCAAAAGAGACTTGTCGAGAACATCCTTTGTCATTCTTGACTCTCTCTCGTACATCAAGGGCTTCAGATATCAACTCTTTTGCGAGGCCAAGGGTGTAGTGACCCCACATTGTGTCATTCATGTGGTCAGCTCTTTGGACAAGTGTCTTGAAAGAAACGAAACATCTGAGAACAAATGGGACCCAGAAGTGATAAAGCAGCTTCAGATGAGATACGAAGAGCCAAAGGACGATACAAGGTGGGACTCCCCATTGTTCGTCTTGGTAAATGATTACGAGAACGAGACTCTACCAGTTGAAGAAATCTGGAATGCCCTTGTTTTGAAAAGAGCACCTCCACCAAACGCTGCTACTCTCGTGAAACCCACATCCAGCAATGACTACTTGCAACAATTGGACAAGGTGACACTGGATGTTATCTCCAAGTGTCTTCAACAGCAACAGCTCGCAGGCGCAGGTGGACAGGTTCGTATCAGTGATGATATGTCTATCGATTTGCCTATAAAAATTGTTAGCACCCCACAGTTTCAAAGAATAAGAAGGACATTCATCTCGCTAAATAGAATGCGCCATATCGACACCGACCGAATCCTTCCTATGTTTGTCGACTACGTCAATTCTACCTTTGAAAATGAAGACTGAGCCTCATCATGATGTCTTGCTCTAATAAACGTTAATAGACCTAATGCAAATGTGAAAGTTCCTAGCGCTTTCTTTCGTTCGTCCACTTGAAATGCACGTTGCCGTCGTCATCATACATCTTCTTCTTGCTTCCGTTCTTCATCAATTCCTTAGTGGTTTCTAGTCTGTCTTCAACTTCCCTGAGCTGCTTCTCTCTTTCCATCCTCTCCTTCAAAAGCTTGAAATCTGCGAGCTTTTGTTTATCGACCTTCTCCTTGTCCTCGAAATCTATGTCTTTCACAACGTTTTGACTCGTCTCTAACTGATCTATGCGAAGTCTGTTTTCTTTTCTATCAAGCATGCTCTCATCAGTGTTGAAGAACTCCTCGGCCTTAAACAGCTCTGCATCGTTCTCGTTGTCGACAAACACTGTATGCTTTCCTCCTGCCTTGAATCCAAGCTTGTTTTTCAACTTCTCAATCTTCTGAAGTTCATTTAACCTCATCG